GAGAGATGATGGTGACCTGGCCTGGGATAGTAACTGTGGACCTAGGGAAATGGATGAATTTGGGTTATATTTTGGAGGTATAGCTGACAAGAGTTCCAGTTCAATTGTATGTGATAGATAGGCAAAAAGAGGAATCAAGAATAAGTACCATTTGCTAAGCTGGGTGTTCTTTTTTATCAAGAGTTCTATTTTGGTCGTACTAAGTTTTAAATATCCGTCAGACACCCATGCAGAGCAGCGAAGCAGTTAGATATATGGGTCTAGAGTTTTAGAGAAAGGACTGGCCTAGAGAAATTAATTTGAGATTCGTTGACTTCTGGACAGTGTTAAAAGCCATAGAACTGGCCGAGATAACCCAGGGAAGGAGTAGAGATAGAATAGAGGGTGGAACCCAGGACAAAGCCCTGGGGCACACCAATGCATTGAGGGTGGAATGAGTCTAGAAAGGAGCCAGCAAAGAAGAGTAAGAAAATCACTCCGGGAGGTGGGAGGAATCCAGGATATTATGATACACTGAAAGCTAAGAAAAGAAAGACTTTCAAGAAGAAGGGAGTGATCAGCTGTGTCTAATACTGCTGTAAGTGGGGCATGATAAGGACGAGGTGCCCATTGGATTCGGCAACATGAAGAAAACTGGTGATCTTGAAAAGAACAACCTCAAGGAAGTGGTAGGGCTAGAAGCCTACTTGGTGTGTTGAAAGGAATGTAAAGAAAGGAAGTAGACGGTCAACTAGACAAAACAGAAGTTTTGTTGTGAAAAGAATAAAAATGGGAGGGTAGCTGAAGGAGCATATGGGGCAGGAGAAAATGTTTTATAGCGAGGAGGTACAGAGTATGTTTGTGTCCTAAAAGAGATGGTCCGAGAGAGAGGGGATAACTACAAAACTATTGCATTTGACAGAGCAGTAGGGTGTGAGATCCTGAGCATAAGTGGAGGGTTGGCCTTTGATAGGTGGTTCATCATTTATGTCAGGAAGGAAGGTAGAGACTGTTCTGGTAGCTTTGGCCTTGAGAAGAGGATTGTTTCTGTTTGTTTCTGATTGTTTCTGTTTTCTCCATAAAGGATGAGGCAGAGTTAGCAAATGTTAAGAGGCTGTGGGGCGAGGTGATAGATGTGAGAAGAGGGGAAAAGATATGAAATAAGCCTTGTGGAGAGCAGGAGGGCAAGCAGGCAGGATTGCCAGGCTTTACTGAAGTGTAGTTAAGACCTGTGCTTATTTAAGCAGCAGCTGAGCTGCGTGGGATAGAAGGGGCCTGCTTACTTCTCCCTGCCTCAAAGTCTCTTGGCAGTGACCCATGCCCTGTAATAGAGGGACCTTGGGTGAGGAACAACTGCACTGGCCAAAGATGACAGTGGCCTGAGTTGCCTCTTGAGCACCAGAGGTTCCCAGTCTTCCTACTCTGATAAAAGGCTTAGAAGAGGGGGTCATCAAAAGGACAAAGAGAGTTGCGCATGAAGGGCTGGTCAGAAAGGAGAAAGGGACGTTGTAGGGGCCAATAGAGAAGTAAAGAAAATAGTTTCCACCTCAAAGCTTCCCAGTTAATATATCTTCCTGCCTCTCCAGGCCATAGGCTACCCAGCTCCCATATTAACCCTCTCTATCGAGTCACGTACTTCTCCTTTCTGGCTTCAGAGCATTCCAGAGCTCTCAGACGGACACCATGGCCAGTGCCTCTGTGTGGGGTGTCTGTTCCAGTGTCCCAGGCATACCTGCAGCCTGAGTTAAGCCCACGTGTGTCCAGCAAAAGTGGGCTGAGCCACCTCCTAGGTGGGAGTTCTGACTCCTGATCCAGCAAGTGACATGGAAAGAATAATTCTGGATTGACTCCAAATAATGTGACAACCAGAATTATAGATTGTTAGGGCTGGAAGAGCCCTCAGAGGTCCTCCAGACCAGCCTGCTGATCCTATAAAAAAGGAAACTAGGACACAGAGAGGGAAGGTAACTTGCCCCAGGTCGTACAATGAGTCATTAACATAGGTAGGACAGGAACCTAGATCTGACTCCCAGCTCAGTGTTCTTTTCATGCCACCTTTCACGACCAAGAAAATGTACCCTTTGGTCAACTGGAAAATGTCCTGGGCAAACTGTGTGTTTCTTGCCACAGGGGGAAGAGGTGGTACCAGAGACGCCATGTGAAATCCTCTACCAGGGCATGCTGTATAGCCTCCCCCAGTACATGGTAAGGAGACAGCAGGCCCCGAGCTGCCCTTCTGTGCTGCGAGGGACAGATAGCTGAGAGCCATTTCAAGCTGAGCTGTCCATCATTTGAGCTTGTTTCCTGAATCTTTGCCCCTCCAGCAAGGCATTCTCTAACAGAATTCTGAGCTTTCCTCGGGGCTCCTGTGAGAGGAAGGAGGACTTGGTGTTTCTCCCAAGTCCTTCGAGAGGGGTGGAGATTAAGGTGGGGTCTGCACAGGATGCATTGGGGGCCCTAGTCCCTCTGAGGTTTGCCATAGTCTGTCATGTCCTAGAGAGTTTTAATCTGAGAATGGTGAGGATGCTGATGGTCAGGGTTAGAAGAAGGGAAAAAGCGGGAGAAGCGAGGTCTTGCCTGTCCTTCCCACCTTACTTCCAGGCATTGCCCCTCTCGCTCTGCTTCTCCTTTTCCTCTTTGGAAAGAACAGTCTTGAAGCCAAGCAGCCAATAAACTCCCCTCGGCTCCTTAGCCGCACAGGCAGGCCTCTCAGGACTGGGTGCCTGTTTGCGCTTCCAGAGGCTGGGGAGATCCAGTCATTGAGGGAAGAACTTAAAGGAATGCTTTAAAACACCTCTTATAGGGCTGCTGAGGTGTTGAAGAATAGCCTCGTTGAATGGGATGGACAGGAATGGATTTCCTCATTTTCTACTTTCCAGATTGCTCTGCTTAAGATTCTGCTGGCTGCAGCCCCCACCTCCAAGGCTAAGACAGACTCTATCAATATCCTGGCAGATGTCCTGCCTGAGGAGATGCCGTGAGTGCTTCAACTGGGGCAGCTGCTGAATACTAGCCATCTCTTCTGCGGAGTCTCTCTGGTCCCCACCCCACCTTGTTAACACTTATAGGGATTGTCTCAAAAGAGACCCCCCTCACCCCCCAGTAGCCCTTTTCCACTACCTTGCTCTCTGCTGTGCTCTTTTTAGCTCAGCATTGAGAGTCTGGAGGGCAACTTCAGTGCCAGTGACTCGTTGCATGGGCATGTGGGTGGACATTTTCAAGTTCTGAGCTTCCCAGAGGAGAGAGAGAAACAAAAAGACTAGAGGAGCTTTTCTCCAGACAGGCGCGTAAGTGGGAACTCTGAGGGTTTCCCTAGCACAGAAGTTCAGGTTTCCCAAGTTCTGGCTCTCTTGTGTATATTGTATCTGTACCAAATACCTGGGTCTACGTAGACCTCTCTCCAGCTGCCCTCTGCACTGACTCCTCCTGTCCCCATTATAGCGTCACTGTTCTCCAGAGCATGAAGCTGGGCATCGATGTGAACAGGCACAAGGAGATCATTGTAAAAAGTATCTCTGCCCTGCTCCTGCTGCTCCTCAAACACTTCAAACTGAACCACATCTACCAGGTGAGCAGCTAGGAGAGCTGCGCCACAGGTCTCAGGTGCTCACCAGGCCCTGTCTCCCAGAGAAGGGATGCAGGGGCCCTTGTTGTGCAGCTGAGCATCTTTCTGCCTTTTCTTTGTCTCACTCGGGGAATCCAGATGCCTGCACAAGCTCGGGGTAGGAGTGTGGAGTGGGATATGGGGAACTGTCCTAGAAGGTGCAGGTGTCTATGTCCTTTGAACATTATGTGAGGGTCATGGGTTGGAATCTCTATCTTCTTGGGAATATGCCCAGCCAGCTTTGAAGCAAAAGAAGACAGGATTCCAGCATTTTACAAAAAAGGATGGGGTGGCGGGGAGGCAGGTATATTGAGCATAGTTTTTGATCTGGGAAGCCCTTTTCTAACATTTGAGATATAATTCTGAATAAAACACAGTTCTGGCCCTTAAGGGCTTATAAAGGATACAGATACATAAATAGTCAATTACAGAGTGGAAAGTACTGTGATACAGGTATGCATTGGCTGCTGCTGTGGAAACACCTAATCCAACCTGAGGTGGAGGGAGAGTGACTTCTAACCTGAGTCCTAAACGAAGAGATATTAGCTGCAATATGGGAGTTGTCAGGGAAAGAAGACAGGAAGCATTTCAAGCAGAAAAGCTAATTTGTGAAAGTCTGGAGGAGAGAGAGCTAAGTACCTTAGGAAACTGATTAAACGTTGCCTGGTGTTGGGGAAGATGGGGAGGCCTGGCAATACGTGAGGCTAGAGGGACAACAGAGGACAGATCATAATGCATATGATAGCACATAGTTGTTGAACATCTATAATGTGCCTGACACTCTGTTAAGCTTGTGTGGGATCTCATTTAATTCTCTCGACCCTACGAGGAAGGTCTTATTTTATCCCTGTTTTATAGATGAGGAAACCAAAGCTAAGAAAGGTTAACCCGCTTCCCCATGAAGGCATTGTTTGCCATGCCAAGGAGCTTAGACTTGGTCCTGTGGGATCGCCAAGGTATAGAGGAAGATGGGGGCAGTGAATGGATGGTCTCTGTGGCGAGACTGTGGGAGGGAGAGGAGGCTTCTCGTTCCTGCAGAGTCTGTGCTCTATTTTCCTCCTAAGAAGTCAGAACAAAGCTTGCTGGTGGAAGAGAAGGTCCTCAGAGTGCAGGGAGGCCCCTGCAGGGTCTGCGTCCACTGACTGACTATACGACTGGGTATTTCGTCACTCTAATACATTCAAAGACATCTTTGGGTATATTAGGGTGTCCAGGGTGTTCACACTCCTGCCAATGTTTGCTGAGCAGCAGCAGGACTGAGAGGAGTTGGGGTGGGTGGGAGATAAGTGTTCTTAGTAGAAAGAACAGAGAACAGTGGATGTTTGTTTCTGTCTGCTTCTCTTGGTGGGCAGTATGTGGCTCAACAGCCAGACAGATGGGTGGCTTGATGGGCCTTGCCAGTGTGTCAGTGTCAGTGAATCCTGACAAGGCTACAGACACATCTCAAACTGAAAAAAGTTTTCCATCGCTTGGTAGTGGGTATATATTGGCTTCTCCCTCTCAGGCTTTGGAAAATACCCTGGGTCAGCTGCCAGGAAGAAAATATTTGAGTGGAAGAAAAAAATAAACAGCACAAGCTAACTCCCTACCTATAACCACACATCCAGGGGCAGAGGGCAGAGGGCAGCTTAGCTTGCTGCCATAGCTACTTCTTAATAATCAAGAAGAGGTAGGGGATTTAAAACACCACAATTTTCTGCTTTTTCAACCCAGTTTCTGCATTGTCCCAGCAGTCTAGGTTCTGGATCTAGAGACAAATTGTGTCTGATGCTCCTCAGCATATTATAGGCAAAATCCAGGTGACACAACTTCATGACACTCTCTCCACTAGGTCTTCCTGGACACAAACCCCATCCCAATTCAAGAGAGCAAAATGGAGCTCCTGTGTTTAGCTCATAAAAGAGATCCTGGACTTATTCTAAGTGCAGTATCTGTTGGCCCAATGGCTCTTGTCAATTCGTTCATTAAAATACTGATATTCTAAGTACAGAAGATAATACAATGAACCATATAGACTTGCCCACATTCTAGTGGTTCATTTGGTTACTGTTCGTAATCTCCATCCTGAGTGATGCCAGTAGTTGCCAGGAGTAAGTTGCACCTGTCCTTGCTGCATCAATCACAGTCGAAACACTGTGAGCCAGAGGTTTGGTACAGAAGACAGCAAACTGAGGAGCCTTCCTTTCCTGTTGAGCTTAGGAGCAAATCTCACAGCAATTCTTTCTATTTATCTAGAGTGGGACTTTCTTTACGGCTTGTTTATGTTTTGTGCTTTTGGTCAGGAGTTTGCAACATACATAAACTGCAGATTGTCCCCCACAACATAGGATGGGCTGGCTGAAGATGATTCTCCCCAGTTCCCAGACAGGAAGAATGATAACACAAGTGGACAGTGGATACTCTTAGGAGTAGATATTAGATTTATATTTGCCTCTTTTTTTTTCATACATACTTTCTATTCTCCCCCAAATAAGCAGCCCTTTCCTCCTTTTCGATCTTTTAATTCAGTTTGAATATGTATCACAACATTTGGTATTTGCCAACTGCATTCCATTGATCCTGAAGTTCTTCAATCAAAATATCTTGTCTTACATCACTGCTAAAAACAGGTATGGCTCTGGACAGGTTTATTTCAAAGGGCTAATTTGGGATGCTTGAGAAAATTACATTGTCTCTGAGCCTTTCAGTTCTCCTGGTGTCCTTTATCCCTTCTATCTTAAAGCTGTCGCTGTTAAATTTAATTTCCTTGAAGTGTTAGCTGATGGGGCATATGGTTTGGCCTCTTCACAAAGATATTTGCATTTTAAAAGTTTTGAAAGCCAAAAAATATCGTGACTCAAAGTAATGAAACTACAACAATGTAATTTCAGCTCTGTGGCAGAGGGTCCTAAAGATGTTTCTTGCGAAGCAGCCTGCTTGTCAGGCCAGCCCTGATCTTCATATAAATCATAAGTTGGATCAGTTATACTACTTGGTAAACTGTAAAGAGTTATACAGGATTTGTAACTGAAAGTAAATAATAGACCCTTACTTAGATAGATCAATTTGTAGTTTTAAAAATTATAGTATTTTCACATCCATTATTTAATATCCTCAGCAGTGCTAAGAGGTATTACCACAAGTTTTATTTTTCATCTTACTAATTAGAAACTCAGAGGTATTAATTCACTTGCTCAAGGTTAACATGCTAGCGAGACCCCTTAAGTAAATAGCAAAGGCAGGATCAAAACACAAATTGCTTTCTGATCACAATTTCTATGAATACAAATTGCTTTCCTCTCCTCCAGAGAAATGGGGACTTGTGTGTGTGGCGGGGGAGGTGTCACAGAGTAGATTCTTGTTCCTTAGTTTGCTACTTCCATGCGAACTAGAAGCATGTTTATCAGTAGAGTGTACCAGAAGTACTTTAAGAGAGGCAGAGCAACGTTTCTGAAGTAGAATAAGAAGACTGATCTAATTCTTGGAGTGACTCGAGAGGGGCTAGGAGATGTTGCCTCATCATTCTGTCAGTACTGCCTGAAATTCCACCATGGAGAGGAGCTCACTGATATGTAGTTACACACACACACACACACACACACACACACACACACACACATACACAGAAACTGAAATCATGAGACCTGGATTCCTGACCTGGATCTGCCATTTGCTAGCTATGTAATCTCAAATAAGAAACTTTGTTTCTCTGAGCCACAGTATTTTCATCTTTAAAATAAGAATAATGCCTCCTCTGACTATAACATAGAGCTTTAAATGCATTAGTTAACATAAACGTTTATGAGAGTGCTTTAAATACTTTACCCTTTTGGAGGAAGCATTGGAGAATGGTTTTTTTTGTTTGGTTGGTTTTTTTGGTTTTTTGTTTGTTTGTTTGTTTGTTTTTTGCCTCTTACTACAGAGAGACGAGTGTACTGGCCCCCTTAAAAATGGCACTGAGACATACTAGTTGGGTCACCAGGGAAAATGAAAGTGTGGGTTGGGCTGGGTAAGAGCCACAGCCTCATGAAGGCACCCGTGTGTGTCAGTCAGCCCTCTAAGTTATAAGTAACTGAAACCAGCTGGACCTGGCTCACGCAGAATGGGGAACTTGTTAGAAGGAGATGAGGGGCATATCATCTCGTGGAACCTAAGATAGGAATACAGCTCTAGCCCTAAGACAGGAATACAGCTCTAGTCCATAGACAGAAGCCCTCCACTTCTGTCTATGGACACCAAGCCTCTGTACCTCCACTCCAGTTTCCTATCTCACTGACAAATAGTATTGTCTGCTTCCCAGGCCACTTGGTGAAATATTCCCACATGAGCTAAACATGTCCCACCCAATGCCACTTCAGAGATTGAACTGGTTCTCAATCCTTGTTCCACATTCCCAGGGTTAGAGGTCTACGCCTGTATCAATCAACTGTGGCTGGGGGAGTGGGGTTCAGGAACTAAATGCTCCACCCATGCACTGATGGGCCTGGAAGGAGAGGGTCAAACAATTCAGTAGGTGTCCATCGCATTTAATTTGGAGTTGGAAGAGTGATGGTGCCAACCTACACCATTTGCCAAGGTTGGCCTGAGTAAGATGGTCCTCCTGGGCACCGCCTATAGACTTTACCGGTCCCTGATCCCTGAGAACTTGGGGTGCCCACAGCTCATTATTGCTCAGTTTCCTCATAGTTCTTACAATCTAGATAGTCTAGAAGCTTATAACTTTATTTTACACCCCCTGAGGCTATAATTCAGTTCACTGAGATTGGAACAATCCATCTTTGATTTCCTGCCCCCATTTCCTGGTTGCCAGCACCTACTTTGCCATGGGGCATTGTCAATGGGAGATGGGTAGGTAAGTGGATAAGCCAGCCAAGAATGTTCATCCTAATGGCATAGCAGAACTGGAAACCCTGGGAGAGCAACATTGCAGGTAAATCCACTGCCCTCTCCTCTCTTCCTCTTGTTTCTTAGGTTATCTTTGTGGGTTTCTTGGACAAAGGTAAAACACTTCTAGTCAAATTATCGCCTTTTGCTTGGATAGACATTTTGTCTCTTGAAATGCAGACAGATTCAGGGAACCCCATACTCTTATAGCTCCTGCTTTACCAACATCTTTTATTTCCAACTCCAGTAGTTCAGAAAGACATGTTTAAAACCTCATGGAATGTTGGGACCAGAAGGAGCATTAGAGAGTAGCTACTCTCAATTCTGCGTTGTACCAATGAAGAAGAGAGATGAGGAAAGAAAGAGAACTGTCATTTTGAATGGCTATGTTTCTGTCATCACGTGGTGCCTTATTTCCCCTGCCTCCCTGGGCTCATCGCAGAGCCTCCAACTCCCTCGCAGTCCCCCACTGTCATTTTTGGGGACAGATGCTATTACCATTCTTGAGCTACTATACTGGCCCTGCTGCAGGAAGCTGCCTCTGTCTCAAGCTGCTTTGAGGAGTGGCTTCTGTGATCCTTCCCCAGAGCTCTTGGCTTTCAGAACGTCTGGTAAGAGACACAGGAGAGATTTTCGTTTCATCCTCACATCTACAAGTAGGATAAGTTTGGGCAACATCTCTGGGACCACAATTATATTCATACATACACAGCATACACTTAAATACAGAAACCCAAATGCACACAAGTTTACATATTCTTTTAAAGAAGGGAGGAGAAAAGTGGCTATCCAGAGGCTCTCTTTTGCATCTGCCAGATGGTGGGCCAGCCTGAAAGAACTCTTGGTTCCTCTCATGACTGTGAGGAGAGGAGACTGGAGCTGGAGTTGCCTGGCACCAGAACCCTCAGTTTCAGCTGAGGTCACTAAGCAATTTGGGAAGTAGGTGGGGCCTGTTGGAGAGAAATAACTCCTGCCCTTTCAGATACAGCTGTTTCCTGCCATTGCCATTTACTTAAAGCCTGTTCTTATCTCTGCATCTTGCAGCATCTCGGTCCTGGATTACCCTTGCTGTACCATTCAGGATTTACCAGAACTTACTACGGAGAGTCTGGTAAGCAGATGGGGATTTGGCAGCCTTTGAAATTGCCAGGTGGCAGAGGCTGACATTTGCTCTTCCGTTTCTTCTGCAGCCCCATAATAGCCTGGTTTGGGAGGCTCAGATCAATATTGGCAAGAGCACAGAGGCAGTAGGGGTTTCGAGCTGCTGACCCAGTTGAGAACAATTTGGAAAAGCTGAGCATAGTATTTTGTAAAGAAGAGAAGAGGGTCAGTGAAAAACCTTATCTAGGTTTCGCTGAGGCAAAAGTCAATATAGCCACAGAAGGATGACCCAGAAAATTCCTCATCCTGGAAACAGCTCTTGGCAAATCAGAAAAGTCCCTCAGAATTCTTCTGAATTCCATGAAGTTGGCTGATCAACAGCATACTGAACATCAAGTGTCTACCTCAGCATGTGTTGCCACAGCTCCTTAGATATGCCTCGGTCCATATCCTCACTCCGTTGCATTGTAATCTGTATCTGTTGCTCCATTTGACTGAAAACTCCTTGAAGGAAGAGATAATATCTTCATTTCCATATCACCAGAGTCTAGCACCATGCTTGGTACATGGCAGGAACTTAATAAATGCTGAATGATCAGCGATGGCACCCATATGTGCCATGACACAACCCTCTGTCCCCCAACATTAATGCCTGCAGAATGTTGCATCAGAAAAGTATATTATTCAAAAACAGAATGATACCTTCTGTGGTACAGCTTTTATAAAACCATAGGATTCTTGGATGGAGGAGAACCGAGAACCATTTGTCCCAAACCCCTGTTTCAAAGATGAGAAACCTGAAGGCCCATTGCATAAAGGAACTTGTCACGGTCCACTCTTCATAGATGACAGACTGAATTAGAGGAAAACCCATGTCCTGAAACACCAGGTCTAGCACCCTTTTTGGCACCAGGGCAGAGATTCCCTGTCTTATTTAGATGTGGTCTCAGTAGCCAGGGAAGCTGGGAGCTTCTTACTCCTGCAGAGAGGGGTAATAAGTTGTCTGACCCTGTTTATATACATGATGTTATTCAGTCTTTAAAACAACTGTATAAGGTTGGCATTTCTGTTTTATGGATAGAGAAGTTAAATAACTGCCAAAACCTTACAGTTGAAAGTAGCAGAGCCAAGGTGGAGACCTGCATCCCTGCCATTCAGAGTTGGAATGGAGAATGCACTTTATCACAGAAACAGTGGTACACAGGTAAAATTCTACTATTTGTAGGGTGTTTCAAAACAGTCAGCTTTTATGACTTGAATCTATTCCTTGATCCAATGTTCTCTTAATCCCATATTTAGGAATTGATGGGAATGGTACTTTCGTATCTCTTCCAATTGACCTTTTGGGATATGAACATAAAATTATTGAAATAATTGTTATGCCTCAGAGAAGACTTTATTATGATGCAAGAGTGGGTGAAAGCTTGTATCTAAATAAAAAACAAATTCATGCTAGGTAGGTATTCCTCTCCTTTCTGTGAAGCAACAGTGGCACCTGGTGGTTTCATTTGCTAACCACAGTTTGTTTTGCTTTCTTTTTTGCTTGAACTTATAAGTACTTTCCTGAGCCCAATTATGGGCTTAAGTTACTAACAAGTTTACTCCACATATGTCCTCAATATGATGGTTTATTTATCTAAACTCGGCATCTGTACTCATAAAAGACTAATGTTTTAGATTTATCTCTTTTTCAGGCTCAGAGAATTAATTGTAAACAGAAAATGTATTGGCTTTTTAAGTGTACAGGACATTTAAAGTTTTTTCTGATTATAAAGTTGCTATATACTATTGCAGGAAATTGGAGGAAAAACAGAAAAATATGGGGAAGAAATTAAAATATCCTAATTATACTACCTACATATAACTGCTGTTAATATTTTGCTGTAATTTCCATACGTGTACATATTTACAATATATAGACATATATATTATTTTAGAAAATAAGGGCTTTATGTGTTTTAATTCACATAGTGTAATTTAAATGTTCACATGTGATTTTACTAAATATTCTTGAAAACTTAGTTTCTAATAGCTACATCTAATATTCTACTACTTATCTTTTTAAATGATTGCTTTCTACTATTGTTAGGCATTTGTTTCCATTTTCTCTATATAACTCCAAATGAACATACTTGCACATAAATCTTTTAACTTATCTCTAATTATTTCCATAAGATAGATTCCTAGAAGTGGAATTACTTGGCTGAGGTTGTCTTGATTTGCATTTTCTCAGTTTTCTGAATTTGAACTGAATTCAACTTCATTTTGAACTCCAGCTGCACCTTTTTTTTCAGTCAGCCTCACTTATAAAAGCAAAGTTAATAGCACATTAATTTCTAAAATCTTCCCATTTTGTCCAAATGTTTAGCTCTACTATAGGCCATCGTTACCCATGTACTAACTAGTTTCCCCACCCACTTAATGTAGGAAGGTTTATAATTTCTGGATCTCCAAATGTCACCTTCACCATTACCAAGTAAATTGCAACTGAAAAACCAGGTTATGACTGATGTGAGGTAACCCCCAGAAGTGTCTTAGAGAAGACCATTTCTGGTAAATAGGTTAAGTAAATACCTTTTAGCAAGCCCACAGCAGCTTCTCAAGACAACATAGAAGAGTCAAGAGGGAAGCACTTATGTGACCTTGGGCAAGCCCTTTCCCCTTCTCTGGGCCTCAGGCTTTGCTTCTGTGGATGGCAAAATTGGACTAGAACAGCTTCTAGTGCTCAGATTCTAATCAATTGAGTCTGTTCACAAAATATATCTCCCCACAGAAGTTTACATCTTACGTAGTATGCTGAGTCCTGAAAGAGAGAGGTGACCTGCCTTAAATGAACATAAACAACAACAAAACCCCTCAAGTCTGGCAAGTCTGAAACGGCACCCATAGAGCTGAAGGCCTGCTGGGAAAATGATTATCTATTGGGTTGGACAAGGCAGAAGGCTTCAGCAGGGCTCCATGCAGAGTCTGCTGCTGCAAGCAAAGGAGGTGAACCTGGACTCAGCTATCCTGAGAGCCACTGACCAGCATATGTACTTTCAGTGCTCACTCTAGGCAGCATTTGGTTATGTAAGAAGTAGGGCTAGTTATAGATGTCAGGGAAGCATCAGAAAGAAAAGAGAGCAAGGCCTTGGGCACATGACACTATTTTCAGGAGGGAACTAAGACGTCTTTTCTAGTTCCTGAAACTTTTGAGACTGAGCTCTGAAGAAAAAGCAGCCATAATTAATTTACTTTCACTCAAACCTTCACTTTTAAACCAACTGAAGAAAGTTGAAGTAAATCACATAATTGTTGAATACTCAGAGCTAAAAGGATCTGGAAGATTATCTAGCTCAACTTCTTGTAGGAAACAGGGAAATGACTTGCCCAAGATCATATAGTCAGGGCAAAACCATAATCCAGGTGTCATAGTACCTACGCCAGTGCTTCCTCTATAAGGCCATACGTCTACTCCCATATTATTCTTTGGGTGCTAAGGAATGCAAGGCTTTTAATGCTGCCACCATATTAGAAATTAGGATACAGTTCAAATACACTTACCTCTCCCATGTTTTTTGTTTCTCCCGCTTCTTTAAAAAAAAATGAACATTTAAAATCTGTCTCCTCTGTTAGATACAACATCTATAGAACCTGATCAGTTTGGGGCAAGCCAAACTAGCTGATACACTAGAGTGGGACCACCTATAGAGATTTTCCTTGAAGACAGATGGTTCTCCTGGGACTAGTTCTAAACACAATATTGAACATTTACTACAAGAAGGAGAACATTTTTTCTAAATATTTCTAAAAAGTTTTCCTGAAACTTTTTAAAATGTATTTATTTTAATTAGTTTCAAGTAAACAGTGCATTGGTTAGACATCTATATAGTTCATAAAACGATTCCCCCAATTGCTCCCTCCCTGCCCTGACCCTCCACCTAGCCAACGTATTAATGCTAACTGCATTCCCTATACTCTGCTCCCCCTTCCTGTGACAATCCATCAGATACTAATTTGTACTTCTTTAACCCTTCACCCCATTCTCCCAGCCCTTCAAATCCCCCTCCCCTCTGTCCGTCACCAAATTGTCCACTATATTCGTGAGTCTGTTTTTGATTAGTTTGTTCTTTTTATTCCTTAGATTCTGCATATAAATGAAATCATCTAGTGTTTATCTTTGTCTGTCTGACTTATTTTACTCAGCCTAATACCCTCTCGGTCCATCCATGCTGTTGCAAATAGTAAGATTTCATTTTTTTATGGCTGAGTAATATTCCATTGTATGTATGTACCACTTCTTTATCCAACAGTCCATTGATGGGCACTTAGGTTACTTCTATATCTTGGCTATTGTGAATCGTGCTGCTATGAACATAGGGGTGCATAGATCTTTACAAACTAGTTAGTGTTTTGTTTTTCTTTGGGTAAATACCCAGAAGTATGATGCTGGGTCAAAGGGTAGTTTTATTTTTAATTTAAAAAAAAATTAAATAAAAATGATAGATACTTTTGATCTGAAAATTTACGTTCTTCAAGCCCAAAGATTTCTCTTTTATTTTTATTTGATTTTTCTCCTTTCATATTCTCTGTTTTCCGTGAATTAAATGGTTAATAGTTTAGTGTTGTACTAAAGTGTAGAGAGGTTAGAAGAGGAAATAATTCCTCAAGGATTTGGGGAGTGTTTTGGAAGCAGTAGAACTTGATATGTATCTTGAAACAGGTGGCAAATGGTATGATATAGTGGTGGGAGTAGACATGTAAACTCATGTAGACATGCATTGGTGGGAGACATGTAAAATCAAAC